TTGGGGTCCTCACTCCACACTGCCCCTCATTCTCAATGATATGATAGTATCAGACATCAAAGAAAAAAATCGTATCATTGAGAATGAGGGGCAGTCAATATATTTTTATGGGCAATCTAGTTCCCTTTGGCTGCCAAAACAAATTAGCACAAAATGGGTTGCTTAAACCAGAAATTCATCATTTTATTGTTCTGGAACCTAAGTCTAAATTAGGGTGGTGGAGAACCATGCTCCATTAGAAGGTTCTGGGAGAAGATTCTTTCTTGTCTTTTTAGCTGCAAGTAGCTTTCTGAGGTAGCCTAAAACCAATCTTTATCTCTGCCTTTCCACTGCTTTCCTCTGCAGAATCTGCCTCTGAGTCTCTTTGCTTTTTATAAGAATTTAACTCAGAGAGGCCCCGCCCTAATGGCCTAATACAGTCTTTTAAAAATATTGGATTATTTTACTTGATATATCAATTTTCAAAATAAGTTGATTGCTTATCTCTCTCTAAAACTAATGCAATCTCTACTAATTGCACTGAAATGTCCCTATCTCCAAATAAGGCAATATTCAGAGGTTCTGAAAAATTTATATTCTATAATAGGTTGAGATATATACTATAGTGATATAAGAATATTATATAACCTGAAAGGCAGTATCATTAATGTTCTATTATTAAATAAAAAATATAAAGTATATCAGTAAACTGCTTTTTAGAGAGGATGGTCCGGGATAGTATTTCTGAGAAGAGACAAGATGTAGTGATTGTCTCAGGCAATTATACTAGAGCAAACAATGAGCGTCAAAAGGCCAGGAAAAGCATGTTGTGTGAGACAGGAACACACTTGTCAGGAGTGAAGAACACAAAGGAGAATGAGATGGAGAGTCATTTCATATTTTTTTTAGCAGAACAATGGTTTTAAAGAAGATTTTCTTAAGGAGAACATTGCAGGAGTGGATATGCAAATTCTGCAGATCCTCTCCACATTGAAAATGATAACTGTTGAAAAGCTATTAAACACATACACACATGCACACACCGATTTAAAATTAACTGGAAATTGTCCTAAGGGCATACAGCAAATGAAGAAATACTTATTCAAGAATAGCTACTACATCTCAGTGAGACAGGAATTTATGTGGCATTTAAACCATAATTCATTCCATGCCTGTATTCCCACATCCCTATTGAGTGTGATGGAACTCAGGTTTCTCAAAGTTTGTTATTAGTTTCCTGAGGTCAGTGTAAGAGAATATATATTGAGAAGTTGACCATAGAGATCTTTCAAGGAGTAAGAAGATAAAATACACTTTAAAGGATTTCAAGATATTGACAAAGGATTTAAAATTAAAAATTAACATAAGTTTTCAAATCATTATGCTTACTTAGGTTTTATGGTAATATGTAATGTACCATTTTTAATTGATAAAATACATATGCATAAAATATAAAACTTATAAAACCTCATATTTAACATATTCATTAATTTAAATGAGTGTACTTGTCCTATTATGTACCAACAGTTTTATCCCTCAAAGTTCTTTTCCGTTGTGTTGCCAACTTCCAGTTCTCTTCCGTTGTAAAAGGAAGAAAGGCATATCCTATTGTTTCCATTACTTTGTATTGGAATTTTGTTAGTAGAGAAAAAAAGCATCCCATTCCTTTCTATAGATGAATACTTGTATGAATCCACTAGTCAAATGAATTTATTAATCTGATTAGAATCTTATTGGCTGTCTAAATGTATGTCATATGCAAGTAAAGTTCTTGTTTACTAATATATACTCTGATTTATCCATTATTTAAAGGCATGAACTTCAAAGGCCAGAACTATGTTAAGAATTTTGTGGCATTGTTTTATGGTATTAAAATTTCAAATTTTACAATTAAATTTTGATAGAATTAAAATAGCCCCATCTATTATTATAAGAAATGGCTGTCACATTGTATCAAATTAATATTTCGCAATCAAAAACATGTATTTCTCTCTAAGGTATTTCCAAGCTTCCTTGTGTTTAGGACATTCAATAACACTTCAGCACTATGCTTGCAGGCCATTTGAAACAGAAACAACCAATAAAAAGCACAAACAAAGTAAGAATGACAGCATTAAATAGACTACAAAAATGACTCTTGTTTTAGAAAGCCCAAGTGCTACCTTGTTAAGCCTTAGCTATGAATATGTGTGTCAGGTAACTCAAAATCTTCACCACTTAGTTCATGTGCATAATTACAAAGGACTACAAAATTAGCATGCATATTGATTTGGGTATTACAAATACATGCAATTGAGTAGGTGCATTTATAAATACAAGTAGAATTCATCAATAATGAGGACCCAGTGTATCTCCTTTCCCCCTGTGTTTTGTTTTCTTGGCTAGGCCTATATAATTATTTAGTCTTCTGAGAGAATCAGCACATAGTTTTATGAAATTATTTTCCCTACACATATTTTTTATTCAGCTATAAACATTATTAATTCTTTCCTTTTGATATTATTCTTGTTGTCTTTTTAAATTAAAAATTTAATAAAAGCTCTAATATTTTCGACAACTATAATTTCTGTGGTATCTCATTATCTTGTATGAATTATATCCTTCATACAACATGCTTAATATTAAATTTTCTATCTGACCCAATAATGATTAATGAGAACATTTATTAATGTCTGAGTAAACATTTGCTCTTTTTAGGATTTATTTCAAATTCTATGGAAGTATTAGTATCTGAACTGTAAAAAACTCATTCTAAAAAATTGTGAGATAGCTGAGTAATTTCACTCAGCTACTTTCACACCCCCAAACAATGGCAAAGTGAAAAAATCTCTCCTCCCCCTACAAAAAGAGAGAGAAAAAAGGCTAAAACAAAACCATACTCAACATTTTACAACTATAACTGGATCAATCGCATATAATAAAATAGTTAAGAAAATATACTAAAAACCTCTCAACAATTACAGAAAATTTCCATAGCGTTTTAGTCTGGCCACCATTACCACTATCCCGTTAATGTGCTACAGAAATTCTAGCAGACAGAGCAGGTTGTTTGGAAGGGACATCTCACAGCAGGGAGGGGCTGACATTCTTTGGAGCATAGACTAAACTATTGAGGAAATAATAGTAATTTCAGAGGCAAACAATCTGGGAAGTCTAAAAATGCGATTAGGAGAAAGTGTTAATATCGGGCAGGGTTACTAATAGAATGGCAGATGAATCCAATTGTAAGCAAAGAGATCCCAAGGTTCTACCAAGAGAAGTTGAATGAGGCATCACATATTCCTGGGTACCTGGTAAGCTGCGTGCTGTGTGAATGTGCTCATTCATTCTTGTAACACTGGAAACCAGAATCCAGAGGTTCTATATCTAAATGTCTAATTTTATAAAAATACATTTTACTAGCATTCAAAGAAACAGTAAATAAAC